CCACAACTTTTTATTGTTTGAAGTCTAACAAGAAGTTAGTAGGAGGAATGACCACAACTTTTTATTGTTTGAGATCCACCAAGGAGTTAGTAGGAAGAATGGCCACAGCTTTTTATTGTTTAAAGTCTAACAAAGAATTAGTAGGAGAAATGACCACAGCTTTTTATTGTTTGAGATCCAACAAAGAGTTAGTAGGAAGAATGACCACAGCTTTTTATTGTTTGAGGTCCAACAAAGAGTTAGTAGGAGGAATGACCACAGCTTTTAATTGTTTGAGGTCCACCAAGGAGTTAGTAGGAAGAATGGCCACAGCTTTTTATTGTTTGAGGTCTAACAAAGAGTTAGTAGAAGGAATGACCACAGTTTTTTATTGTTTGAGGTCTAACAAAAAGTTAGTAGGAGGAATGACAACAGCTTTTTATTGTTTGAGATCCAACAAAGAGTAAAAATGAGGAATGACCACAGCTTTTTATTCTTTAAGGTCTAACAAAGAGTCTGAATGAGGAATGACTACAGCTTTTTATTCTTTGTGGTCCAACAAAGAGTCAGTAGGAGGAATGACCACAGCTTTTTATTTTTTGAGGCTCAACAAAGAGTCAGAATGAGGGAAGACTACAGTTTTAGTGGTTCCATTGACCTGGATTCATTAAAGAAAACATAAAGCAGTACTCTACCTTTGACCAAACTCCAATTTCCCAACGGGGACACACGGGCACGCCACAGTATCTGATATAAATCGGAGGTTTGAGTCCAGCATTAATACAAAGCTTGTGGGCGACAACTCTTGGGTTGTTATGTTGTTTATCGTCAATTTTTAACAGGCATTGGCTTGAACGAGTCTATAAAAAACAACTGTTTCATTAATTTCAGTTCGTATAACATATTTACGAAATAAGTTACTACAACCACACCATTTAGATGGTAGAAAAGTGTTTAAGGAGAATTTATAAGTGAATTATATTTTCGTTCATTTGCTGATAAATGAAGTATAAGATAAAATTCTAAATGTGTAATATCAAAAGTTAATACAAATAATGCATTTAAGCTTTATAAGTGTAATTTAGTTATTCTACGTAGATTTAGGTGGGATATTAATAAGGTTACAGACTTACACTGCTAAAATGCTAAAAACATGGTTCTGCTCTCAACCAACCTACGTAGATTTTACGGGTTTTTTTTTAATTTTGCGAACCACATTTATAAACATATCTATCATAAGCTAAACTTAAAACACTGAAAAAAAATTGTGAAATAGATACATGTTAACTTTAACTGTAAAATTCTATAACAATAACTACTCGAGTTTTAAACTACGAAAACTTGTTTAATTTCTTTTAAATTATGAAAAAACATAACTAATTAATTTTAGTTTCAATTTTATGACAATGATCATGAGTTTATTTTTAAGTGCATTAACTGTTTTATACCATCCTACAAGGATTGTTCAGATCATTATAGAAATGATTTTAAGGACTTAATATAAGGTTAGCTTTAAAAAGCTTTGAAATATACTAAGGAAGCAATAACGATTTCTCACGACGAAGTTTGTTCGATTTGTGACAGTGAGGTTGGAAAGATAAAACAACAAACCTGGAATGCCTTTTCTCCACAAGTCCTTGAACATGTAGACCATGGAGTAACAAACCATTCAAGGTTCAATGTTTCAGACCAACTTTGATCCCGATCTTCAGGAAGTAAACGTCGGTTAGAATCTTCCTTGGAGGTTTTCAACTGTTTGGACAAGTTTATCAACAAACGCTGTAACTGAGGAAAGACGTGATTGTCTGTCTGTCTAGATGATGTCAGATTGTGTTCTTGGACAGTTTTCCACAGCATCTCTTCGTCATAACTCGACTGACCACCATGAAGCTTCCAGGTGCTCAATTCACTTGTTTCTTCTAGATTTTTAGAAAGACCAGAAAAATTAGCAGAAGAAGGAGGCTCGAAAGAACTCGTTAAACTTAATAGTACCGAGTATAATCTTTCATCAGAAGATAAGCTGGCCAATGGCCTCGCGTCTGGCTTGTCGACTCGAGGCCTGAAGCTAAAGATACCATTGGTATCATCTACCACTGCTAACGAAGCTCCATAACCCCTGTTTTCGTGACTGTATTCCTCCTGCTCATCACTATTGCTTTCTAAATAGTAAGAAATAATAAAATACTTAAACCACGAAATAAAAAAATTATATTTCTTCCATATAAACATTTAAATCTTTCAATTTAAAAGTCTAGGAGTTCTAGTATTTCCAGAGTAATAACTATATTTTCAAATCGAAATTATGTTTTCCACGTCTCACTGCATACACTTTTGAAATATAAAATTTTATTTTTATTTAAGGAGATTCACATACCAGTATATCAATTTCTAAGAATGTCAGTTAATATGAGATCTATGAGTACCTGAAGGGATTTCTGGCCGTTCCACTGTCCGGTCAAAAGGGTAGTTTGTAAAGTAAGTTGGTTTAACTGATATAATCATGTCAGCTTTAACGGAGCTGACCATACAGGAGTATTTCCCGCTATCTTCAATCCTCAGTGACTTAATGGTGATAGCACCAGTGTGTGATATATTGTACTTCTGATTCTGCCTTAACCTTCTATTCCCTTTGTACCATTGTATCATCGATTTATCATAACCGTAAACTGGACAGCGAATTTTGACATCTGACCCCGAGTAAAGTCTAGCATAGCCACCAATCTTCAAATTAACCTTCTCTTCAGGATAGCTCTGAACATAGGTTTGCTGTGTAACTTTGATCTGAGGATATTTTATTGATATATTAGATTTTTCATTGTTTACGTTCTCGTTCGAGTTGCTGAAAGGAATCGGTTTAACAACTATGATTATGTCCGCCCTTGCTGGTCCTGCCCTGCAGGTGTACTGACCAGTGTCCATACTGGAAAGGTTTTTTATTTTTAGTGATCCTCTGCGACTGAGTTGATACTTTTCATTTGCTGCTAAGAATGTTTGTCCTTTCTGCCAGCGAATCAGCGACCTATTGAACCTTTGAACTGGACATCTGATTTTAACAGTCGTTCTTTCCAAAAGAAGGGCTCTGCCTCCAACGTCCAGTTTAACGTTTTGGTGTGGTTTTTCCTGAACATAATCTTGTTTTGAGATCCTGATATACGGTGGTGTAAAGCTGCTGCTTTTGTCAGCAGTTTTCTGGCAAGACTTGACACCGCAACTTTTCTGTTTCAGAGGTCTTTCCACGTGACACCGAGACCAGGGCTGGCTGACCTTATGTCCAAAAGGAATCACTTTAATACACTTCACTTTCCTGGTTCGTATCCCGCCGCCACATTTCTTGGAACACTAACGAAATAGATTGGAAACCAAACATTAATAACAATCATTCCTATAATTTTACTTCAAACAGTAAGTAAAAGTAATATGCAAAAGAATCTTCGAATTATCGATGAGAAGTCTTTATAAACCACAGAGGTTTTAAAAAACTTTATCTCATACAAAAAATATTAGAACTACCGATGAGGAGTCCATATAAACCACACAGGTTTTTGTAACTTTATCTCACACAGAGAATCTTCAAATTACCGATAAGGAGTCCATATAAACCACAGAAGTTTTAAAAAACTTTATCTCATACAAAAAATATTCGAATTACCGATGAGGAGTCCATATAAACCACACAGGTTTTAAAAACTTTATCTCATACAAAAAATATTCGAATTACCGATGAGGAGTTCGTATAAACCACAGATGTTTTAAAAAACTTTATCTCATACAAAGAATCTTCGAATTACCGATAAGAAGTCCATATAAACCACAGAGGTTTTAAAAAACTTTATCTCATACAAAAAATATTCGAATTACCGATGAGGAGTCCATATAAACCACAGAGGTTTTAAAAAACTTTATCTCATACAAAAAATCTTCGAATTACCGATGAGGAGCCCATATAAACCACAGAGGTTTTAAAAAACTTTATCTCATACAAAAAATCTTCGAATTACCGATGAGGAGCCCATATAAACCACAGAGGTTTTAAATACCTTTATCTCATACAAAGAATCTTCGAATTACCGAATAACCACAGAGGTTTTAAATACCTTTATCTCATACAAAGAATCTTCGAATTACCGATGAGAAGCCCATATAAACCACAGAGGTTTTAAATAACTGTATTTCAACAATTTATTCGACACATTAGTTATAACATTTTGGTTCCTCGTCACCACAATATTTTTTCTACCTAATAATGGTGCAGCCACAAAAGATACTTCTAAAACAGACAACTTCCCAAGTGGGCATAGAGAATCTTTTAGGAAATTTTCTTCTCTCACTGAGCCCCCCCCCCCCCCCAGTGGCACAGCTGTATGTCTGTGGACTTACAACGCTAGAAACCGGGTTTTGATACTCGTGGTGGGCAGAGCACAGGTAGCCCATTGTGTAGCTTTGTGCTTAATTACCAACTACCAACCAACCCTCGAGTAAAAGGTTATTTGTGGTAAACTAAACCTATTAACTCCTTTAATCAAACACTCATTTCTGAAAGAAAATTATTTTGTCTCAACAAAAATTTAATTTATGTGTTTATAATTTATTCACAGGGTTACGAAGGTAAAAGCCAGAGACTGATTTAAACTTTATTCAGAATACAAAAGGTTTGTGATTTTGAAAAAGAAAACGTTTTCTCGTGTGTCTCCTCCAATAATATAAACGTTTTACATTCAATGAAACCGAGTTTTAGTTAGATCATTTATGTAAAGCGCTTTAATTTAAATGTTTTATTAAATGATTTTTGCCCGATTCTGATCTATTGTGTTGACTGCATAATGTAAACCCGGCGACTCAACATTTTCTAATCCCTCAGGTTACATCTCAAAGTAAACGCTACACATTTCATATCGTGACAAATTTTGTCAATAATTACATTTCTAAGACTTTTTCAAGTCATTTTACAGCTTCTGAAATATGCTTAGGTGGAATTAAAATGCTTTACCTTACTCCATACTCCAACTTGCCACATGGCGGGGCAGTCAATAACATTACAGTATTGTTGGGAGGGCGGTGGAGGCTGCGGGCACAAGTTATTCTGAAGAAGTTTCACATTTCTTGGTTCCTGTCCCAGATGGTGGATACACTGTACTTGTCGGTACTGGATTCCTCCTCCACAACGTTTGGAACAAGGTGAAAACTCTGTAAGGTTCCATCTATTAAAAATAACTTATTATGATAAAACTATATATATATATATATATATATATAT